TTACAGGCAAAAAAGAGACAGTGCCTCCACCCCAAGAATAAGGTGCCTGAGAGCTGTGGACAGCCCCCAGTGCAGGGGTGGGAGTTTGCAGGCACAGGAGAATGAAAGAAAAAACAGTGAGGTGATTCTGCATAGAGAGGGTAACCTCTCCCCCAACTACCATTTTCTTTCTGCCTTTGTATTCATCAACCTCCTTTGTCACACATGTAGAAGGCCCAATTCCCTGTTCTCTTGGGCACTCATTTGCACCCAGCGTGAGAGGGTGTAAATCACTCCTGACTGGGCATCGCAGCCTTCTGCACCTACTGGTCATGGCTGTCAATGGTCCAGCACTTCCTACAATGGGAGTGGGCACACGCATGCACTTACCTTATCCCTGTGCCTGTTTTCTGGCAGCCCTGTGGCTGGTGCCCTCTCAGGATTCTGCCCTGTGGAATCCTGGCTTTGCTGGCCACGTCTGCATTGTGATAAAGTACCCAGGACTAGCCCGGCTCAGATGGCTTTGGCTTGTGGGGTGTGGATTGCAGGTCTCTGGAATTGCAAAGTGGGCATTAACGCTTGGGCTGGAACCCTAGGCTCTGGGAACTTTCTTTCCATCTCAGGCTCCAGCCTCAATCTGAACATCTCCATTGCAGCTGTACAGCTCTGCTGCCTGAGCCCCGTGACATGGGCTAGCCACCAGTGTTTTATTGCAGAATAGACTCTCAGTTTCCTCCCCCAACCCCTCATACTTGGCAGAAGCTCTCTTCCCACCAGCCTCCTTCCCATGAGGGCTTGGGTGGGATGCGAAGGCAGAATTGGTCCCCTCCTGTCTCTCGTCTGGGGGAAGGTTTGCGGGATTCAGCAACACAATGGTTATTTGGGCTTGGTCTGCCCTTTCCTAGCTCCCGTGTGAGCTTCCCTTCTCCTGGCACAGGGACTGACTCTTGGCTGTGCGCACTCTGTCCAGGCAGGCAACAGGACGGCGAGTGAGAATGAGCAGAACCTCCAGCAGGAAAGTCCCCAGTGAGTGGAGCCACACAGAGAGCTGCTGGGAAATGTTTAGCATCTCCTACAGTCCTGGATGGGCCCTTGCCCCAGAGACAACAGCTGGACATGTACCAGCAAGACCATATGGGTCAGCATGATAGACGGGGTCAGCCCCAAGAGTCTGACACTGGACACGTGTTCTGTACACGTCACAGCCAAGTAGGGGCTGAAGGAGAATGGGGTGGTTTGGAGAAGGCACAGGGAGCGGGAGGGGGCTGTCTGGATCCATCTCCGATTTGTCCCAAATGTAAACATTTTTGCCTTTCAGCTGCGAGAACTTTTGCGTGACCAATCAAGAACCAGCTCTGTAGCAGCACAGCAGAGGGGCAAAAATAGCTCTTTGACCTGTTGGCTCTGAATCTCAGAGTTGTCCCACCTCCTACCTGCACTAAAGTGTTTACCACAATTACTGAGAGCAGGAGCCAGAGTGGATGGGAGGTCTGTTGCTTCCCATCGCTGTCCATGGCTTTCAGCTCCCAAATACTGCTCCATCCTCCATTTGGTCGGGACCTAGCCAGGGCTGCTGGAACAGTTTGTAGCGTTGGGGGAGGGGAGGGGGTTATAGAATGAGAGTAATCGAACCAAACTGTAAACACTGGATCTAACACTCTCACCCTAGTTCCTGCACCTGTGGGAGTAGCATCAGGCTGCCCTGTGTGAGTGGTGACCCCTGACTCTGCTTATCCAAGCACCTCTCTTCACCGCTGCAGCGCCAGATGCCTCCCAGTCCTGCCTCAGTGTGGGGCTGGGATGGGCCAAGGAAACAGCATCCCTAGGGAGACTCCACATTGTCCTGGGCTGGCCCCTCCCGTGGCCCACTCAAGGGAGACTGATTAGAAAAGCATCCACAACTAAGATTTTTGTTTCTACTGGTTGTGCACATTGGCACATGCCTTGGTGCACATTTATGCTGCACATGAATGGAAAAGATTAGTGGGCACTTTGCCATAGGGCTACATTAATTGTCCCCTCTCAAATCTGCTCAAGCCTTTTGCCAGTTGCGGTGGCTCTGGTACTGTGCCCATCCACATTCCAGTATTGGCCCCAGCTCTGCAGGCCCAAGTCCCTCCCAGGCCAGTAACAAAACTGGCCTGTTCTGCTGGAGACAGACCAGTCAGACAAGGTTCTGTGAAGTCCACGGCTGGCCCTGGAGCTCTAGGACGGCAGTTCCCTAAAGGCAAGATGTGGTATAGAATCATAGAATCATAGGACTGGTGTTGTATTGCTGCTGCCATACAGACCTGAACACATCACGGCATGTCTTCTGCCACTGAAGCAGTCTGCAGACTGCATAGAAAGCGAGTAGCGATAAACAGGAGTCCAGTTGAATGGAAGCTGGAATCATAGCAGCACCGAGCTCAGATTTTTAAAACACAATCTGGTGACATCACTCGCTCTCTGAGTACAGTGATAACCTGCAAGAGCTAGGTATGTTTACCATGATCATAGAATCATAGGACTGGAAGGGACCTCGACAGGTCATCGAGTCCAGTCCCTTGCCCTCATGGCAGGACCAAATACTGTCTGGACCATCCCTGATAGACATTTATCTAACCTACTCTTAAATATCTTCACAGATGGAGATTCCACAACTCCCTGGGCAATTTATTCCAGTGTTTGACTACCCTGACAGTTAGGAACTTTTTCCTAATGTCCAACCTAAACCTCCCTTGCTGCAGTTTAAGCCCATTGCTTCTTGTTCTATCCCCAGAGGCCAAGATGAACAAGTTTTCTCCCTCCTCCTTATGACACCCTTTTAGATATCTGAAAACTGATATCATGTCCCCCCTCAATCTTCTCTTTTTTAAACTAAACCTAATTCCTTCAGCCTTCCCTCATAGGTCATGTTCTCTAGACCTTTAATCATTCTCATTGCTCTTCTCTGGACCCTCTC